TTACTTGACCATATATTCTAACGATTACTGTACCAAGCCACTGAATCCTCGATTATTCTTCTTTCTATCCACAAAGAATTGAAATTTCGTTTTCTAATTGTTAGGAAAATTTATTGTTATTGACAAGTAATTAGTAATGTGGTTCTTGATTTCCGTTTAACATAATTATTGCGTACTTTGAATATTCACCATCGGATTGAATTAAACCGATCTATCATCTTTTTTGGTAAAAGTTTCATTCCTGAACAGGGACAGTTTTTTTCCTATTGACAAGCAATTTGTTGTATGATTCATAGCTCTCAATATAATTAGTTTTTTAGTTTGATCGTATCCAGTTTTCTGGGTACCTACTGGATACATAGACCTGGTTAAAAGCTATTCAGTTATTGTATACTGAGACATTTTATACATATCTTCATAATTTTTTGATTGGTATCACTTAATTACCAATTTACCATGTTCCTGATTATTAGACTCCGTAAGTGGGTAACCGTCATATCAATCGTCCATACAGAAGCTTAATTGAGAGTTCTAGGAGTTCTGATCTTTAACGATAACAACCGATTATTTTATTACACTTGATCCATCCAATAATATTAAGATGATTTATTGTTCAATAATTATTCTACATATATTTTTTTCTAGAAATTTAGTGTTAATTTTATTCCTAACAGTAAAATAATAAAACGAAACTTTGTTTTTCTCAAAATCTCATCTAAATTCATGAATATACTATTCGCTGCCAAGTTGTTGTTTTTTCAATTAAAATGATTATTTTTTGATTGAGATCATGAAATGATCGATATTAGACCACCATTGAAAATATGAAAGCACTGGACAGCCCTTTCGTTCTAGTATTGGGCTTATCAGCAGTGCTTCCATGTTTTCAATGGTGATCTAACACCAATCAATTCATGAACTCAATCAAAAACATAATCTTCACAATACCATGTTGATAAAATGATTATATATTTTTGAAAACTTAGTTCAGATATATAAATTTTATAAATCCAAAGTAAAAGTAACAACTATATAAAGTATAAATGTCAACTATCCGGCGGCCTGCTTGAATATCTGGGCTACCTGTTCCTTCGATCTAGATATTTCTTCAAGTTATCTGTTTTGTTGTTTGTTTTAGCACATCAGTATGTCTATTGTGCTCACAATCTATTCGGACGCGTTTATGAAAAGTTCACAACCTTTCACTATACGGGATACAGAAAGGTACAATCAGCGACATCATGGTGGCTGGCAATATGCAATGAAACGAGTGAACATTAATCAAATGTGGATTACCGAATTCCTAACATCTAACTGGTCATCATTCGAAATTTATCGTCACAATCAATCAAGATATAAGAAAAAGAAACTTGTTGAAATACTTTATGCTGAGAATTCTATGTTGTACCAAAAGTATAATATTGAATAAAGCTTCTTATAATAATCATAATATCTAATCAATTTTAGTATGTCATGGATTGGATAAGTGAAACACTTAAGTACAAGATCGCTATTTGAAAAGTTCATCTTATAAACTTTTATTTATTCAAAATTCATTTATGTTAATTACAACAATAAAGTGCTACATAATAGAAATAAGTTAAAATTAACTTTCATACTATTAACTGTGAAAACTAGAAAATAATGGAAAATTCATTCTAAGTAGAATGATGACTAAACATTTCTGAAAAATATTGGAACAAAATTAAACAACTGTTTATTTTCACAGATTGAAATCATGAGTCAGTTGAAGCTAGACCACCATTGATTTCAATCTGTGAAAATTTCTACAAATCTCCACAAACCCCTTCTGATAACTGTTTATTTGTTCTATTCATTCCGATGCAGATTAGTATACTTGGTTCTGGGTTAATGATACTACTCGGTTACCATAAACCACAATCGGTAGAGCTGGGTTCGTAATCGCGGTTTAATAGCTAACCTTGACTTCTGAGCCACAGCAATTTGGTCTTAATCGGCTTGCTTACTTGAAACTAATTGATGATTAGAATTTCTTTTTACGTTGAAAGATGCTTTCTTAACACTTGGTTCAAGAGATTAATTGATGTAAATAGCGGTTAGTATTAAGAAACAGAAGAATCCCAATCCAAGGATTATATGATTGAATCTGTCATTTAGATAATCTATTAGTGTAATAAAGCCTAACTTGAAAACTGTAAATCGATGGAATAAGTATATTTTAGTGAAATCACAATTATTCTTTTGTCTTTAAAAATATTCAAGCAGATAGCATGACAATGTTTTAACATTCCTCCATAAACTATCAAGTAGTTATTAAAATATTAATTCACCATTAAGTGGAAATCGAAAGTTTACAAAGACTGACATGTGATGAACATTTCATTTAGCAAATGTAAATTAATGATATACAAAATTGCAAATAATAACAGGGAATATGAACATAGGTAAGACGAAAGTTTTAAACAAAAGAATTCAACTTATTTATAGTATAAATGGATTATAAAGTTTGTTTTTCACCTGTTAGGTTTAATTGAAATGATTTGAGTTTAAAAAAGACATGGAAATTTTAATGGTACTAGAATTATTTCAACCTAGATATAGAAATCAGAGGTTTAATAGTTAGAATTACAACAGTATGTTCAATTGATGTATTGATGGAGTATGCGATTAACTTTCTTTACCCTGGTAACAATACTCCCCCTTTTTTTATTCATTTATTTCTACTTATTTATTTCTTTGTTTATTTATTGCGTCATTATCCCAACTCTTTCTGAAGTTTAAATTACATCATACATAATTGACTGATTTCAATTCATACTTCCTTGATTACCATTAATCTATTTTCATGAGTTCTAATCACTATTTCAATGTTCCGAAACTTTCACTCTCAAACTTTATGTCTTCGAGACAAAATTTTATGACCTTATTAACTCTATCGGAATCTTCGCTACACCATGATACATTTATTCATCCTTAATCACTCTCTTATGTATAGGCATGTCAATATTTGTAATAATGTTGAATTTTAGGTTGTAAGCAGCTGATGAGAATCTAACGAAATAAAATGAATTCATATTATTCTGCACCAATCTTTGTTCTTGCTCTCATTAAGAAGTATTTAAAGTTTTTCAGTAGCTACTCTACCGATTGTGAATACAGGAACATTGATATCTAATTACATTGAACATATCTTATAACATAATGATAGTCTTATTTAGAACTTAGCTCAGTTATTACTCCATTTCTAAAGTGTTATAACGGCATTCAATAATAATATTTGATAGTTTTTATCCTCCCTGTGGCTTTGGGAATTATAGTTCTCAGTGTAATTTAGCATTTCTATTGCTATCAACGACCCTACTATTTGTATTACTTACCAAAGAATTAAAGTAAAATAGAAAAGGGTTTTTGTAAATGATGATGGTTCTTGTCAGACATATTCAGTGTTGCAAAAACGTTCCTCATATCTCTTCATACAATTTCAAAATAGCCTATGCAATAGTTTTGTAACTAGTGTTTTTTTGAAAATGTCAGTGGCTAGACATATTTCCCCACTCACAACTATCTCCTTTGTTTATATACAGTAATTGATAGGAATAGACGATAGTCGTACAATATCATAAACAAATAAAGTTAGGAACGTAAGTCATCGAAATCCAACTCCGTAATGTGAAATTAAATACCCAACGTAAGACGTAAATGTCCTGAGTTTGATTCCTGTTGGGCTCGTGGGTACGCATCGGTGCTGAGCCCTATAATAGAAAAAAAATCATAAAAAATCGAAAAGCCCTGGATACTTGTTTAATCCTAGTGTGACAACTTCCTGATAACATAAAAAGACGTGTGATAGGAACTTTCTCTGCCAGTATCATTAGATTTCAACCGACTAGTGGTACTAATAGTAATGGTGAAGGAGACGTATGAATGGACTGATGTACGTTACCTATAGTACATATTGTTGAAGAATCTCAAGCAAAGACTCACATTGTTCAAAACGCTCAATCGATTACACCTAAATGTGAGTTTAATACTTAACACACTTAAGAATCCATACATTTTATTACAATTTGACTGCTGATTCGTAAAGGAATCAATCCTTGTACAGTATATTTTCAATATGATTAAAGTCGAATAACTCTCATTATAATGAGTAGTACTATTAAGCAACAAACCAACTACAAATTTAAAAGTTTCTTTTTTCAAAACAAACCATATATCACTAGAAATCATGCATTAAAATAGATTGTTAAATATTGTGTGGATTTATTCACCTTATAATTTGTCAACTGACAAAAGTGCATTATAAGTATAAATCTTCATCAAAAAATCATCTATTCAAATGATAAGTTGATTTCAATGAGAAACAACAAGGTTGAATTATTACTATTATCAAATATACTATGATAATGAGATGGTGAAGAAGATTTGTAGCACAGATGGATGATTTTGACGGAGTTTTTGTCTCTGAGCTGAATGGTTTGGTCGCGGAGTTTTCATCGTTCTTCTGAACGACATCATCAACACAAACTTCTACTTGGAGTTTGTACTGATGATATCGTTTAGAAGAATGATGAAATCTGCACGACCAAACCATTTAGTTCTGAGAACAAAACTCCATCAATATACTATGATAATATTTTAACCAATGTTAACTACATGTAGATAATTAAAAGTTAATTAGATTTTTTATTCCTTTCGAATATTTCTTGTGCCTTAAAAGATTGTAACAATTTGATGATGAAACTGAACAGAACGATATTAGCTACTGTTTCTAAGATGTTACGATTCGTTATAAAATCTAAGTCTTCGTTACCAATCTTCATTTTCTGTATTATCATTAATAGTTGGTGAAATTGAAAACACTGTCTTTTGGAGTCTAAAAATCCTTTTAATCGATACTTAAACAGTTTGGCATACAATTCTTATTTAACGAATCCATCTATGTAATAAATCCGTAATATATAATATGAAAATACCAATGTAAGAGATATTAAATTGAAACCGATAGTCAGTACTCTACGAGATCGAATAATACAGCTTTTAACTACATTCAAGTTTCAATACATTCAATTACCAATCATATTTACTTTGATAGATAATAGACTGTTTTAAAAGAGTCATTATAAACTATGTTTTCGAATTTTTCAGTGTTTTCATATACTTATCCGTAATAGTTTATATTTGTCATAGTTCGACAGAAGACAAATTTATTAGTAACATACATTTAACATTCATAAATCACAATATTTTCTTTCTTGAATATCTCATGAATAAGTTACAGATTTAATAGTGTCAAAATTAGATGAATTTATAGTTTTATTTACATTTCTTGTTAATATTGAATCAAATCGAGCAGATTTAGATCCAGATGATGGAATAAATACTTTAGCATCTCGATGAGACTTTATTTGTTTATAAGGATCAATATACGGTTCAGGCATATAATTAGGAAAAGGATTAAATGTACCAGCTTTGTAACCACCTGGTTCTTTACCTGGATTAGATGGTCTAAACGGAATTGTAATTCTTCTCGTTTGTATTGCTGTAGGTTTTAGAGGTTTTTTGACAATACCATTTTGTTGTTTATATGGATCTGGACCAAAGTAGTCAATATTTCCACATTGAATGAAGTTTTTACGACCTAGTATTGCATTTTTATAATCTTTGTTAGTTTTATTTATATTATCTAAATATGGTTCTGAAACATAAGCAGGTAATTTTCCAATTGTTACATTAGGATAACTAGATCCAGCACCTTTTTTAGATGGTGAGGTGTAAAAATTCTTCCCATCAGATGATTTAGTTGATTTAATAAATTCATTACGGAAATATGGAATTGGTCCTGAAAATGTACCCCAATAATTTCCAGATCCAATAAGTTGTTTAGGACAAGAAGATGGAAGAAATGCTTTTGTACCTTCTTTAATTTTTTCTTTCAAATGTTCTTCATGCTTGATTTTTGTCATATCCGTATATGATTCACCAATAAATAGTCGATTGTATGGGCTAAAATATCCATCGTTTAAACCACATTTTGATTTTGTACTAATCCCATATAGTTGTCTACCTTTACAAGAATCTTCATTGAAAACAAATTTTCCTAGATCAGTATATGGATCACCAATCGTAACATAAGACATTTCTCTAAAATAACCTAAACGATCAAGATCCGGTTTCGTAGATCCAGTCATATTGTTTATTCTTTTCACCGATCAAAATAATAATTGTTTGATTTATTAAATATAGAACAAATGATAAATATGTACTTAGTAACTATATGCATCCGTTTATAGAAATGCCATAAATTGAGTAAAATTAACCAATTGAAATCGAGTAATTGAATCATATCTTATTGGTTAGTTTAACTACATAAGAAAAAGTCATATATTTGTAGGAGGATCTTGATAATCTATCATCTTTTTGATCTCAGTAAAAACAAACATGTTCCATAAAATGGGTCATAATCATACAATATTTGTGGAATTATGTTTAAAAGGAGTAATCTAACAAGAAAAATAATGAAACCATTTTACAAAGTTATTTGTTGAAACTAAATGATCAGTTGGTATAGTAACTGATAAATTAAAATGTATTTCATTCATATGGCTTGTACTTTCTTTTTTTATAAAGTAGATTATTTCGTATGTAAGTGTAATATTCAATTAATTTTAGGTGTGTTTCTCTAATAAGCCAAATAAAAAATATTACATAATTTGAAATTCATTTGCAATTGATTATGTTTCTAAAGTAACGAAAACATTGTCACTTCATTCATGTTAATCTATCGTCATACTTTAAAATGAATTAAATAAAACAAAAGACTCTGACACTAATTCAAGATCAAGATAATTGGCTCTGTAAATATTTTAAAATTTTCCGTAAAAGTGATAAATACAAGCCTAATCGATACTGTAAAATTTATGTCCAATTGAAATAAAGATACATCTATGAATTTTAGGGTCTCAATTAACTCAAAAGAACATTTACTTCTGTTGAAGTATGCTTGACACTACTCAAAATGATCCACACTCCTGACTCGTGATTGATATGATTAAACAATGTCTTGTTAAAACGTTTTACTCAGAAATTATCTTTTAACAGGATTGAACTCTGAGTCAGTTAATTAACTAATGACAACCTACTCCTAATTTGCATAACCACAATTGTATGGACTAATTATATAACGTACAAGTGTGATTATATTTTTAATAATGCTCTATCTGATGAGCGCAGTGCAAAACCTTCATGCAGTTCAGTTGATGTTCTGCTTCAACTTATGTATAACCAGTTCATAATAATCAGTATACCACAAAACTAGTTGTAACAACACATTAGGAATAAAGAATATTTATTTATAGTATTTTAACATTTCATTCCTGTAAGTTAATGTACCCTTAATTTGGGTTGTTTCACAAAGACTTTGAATGATTTTAATATTAAATTCGCACTAACTGGTACATTACCAAAGAAAATCAATGAGTATTAAATAATAGTTGTTTCCAGAACCAAGACTCCATATAACAAATGCTAAGATTGAATTAGCATCGGTAACCATGAAATTTTTATTTTCACGCCATTGGTTGATTGATTTCTAGTGACAAATTATTGATTTTAACCTAATTTGAGTTGACTAGTCTATGGTTCACTAAGAATTTAACTACTGATCTCTATAAAATAAATACACACAGAAATAATTTTGTTGAGATATTATAGGAATTTTATTAGGGTCTTAAATAAGTCTGTCTCTAGAAGTTCCTCACTCTCATTTTGGTCGAACCGTACACAACCATGTGAAGCTTTCTCAAAACAGAAGAACTATGTTGCAGGTTGATAAGGGAAAATTGATGGTATATACAGTAATTGGTAAGCAGCAGTATCAGTTGGAAAGGAGACATTTTTTCCTTACCAACAGATAACATAGTACAGTCGATATTATCTAATCCAAAACATTTCAACCTGTCAAGTAGTAATGTAAGACATTTAATATACTATTGCTAATCAAAGCTGAATGAATGCGACTTACAAGTATACATTACTTAACTCTGCATCATTTGTAGATAAATCTTATTTAAATGACAATAAAAGTTACTAGTAAATGATTCCATGAATACCAGTTACATTTATATCGACAGTCTTCTATATGAAGAAAGATTTAGCTAGATACACTACTATTTTGTCCTAAGAAAAAATTACGTCACATACGTGCTAACAGAATAAGTAATTCCTCCAGACCTAAACATTTATTATTATAAAATAGCGATCTGCACTAGGATTTGAAGTATTTCATTCAGTATTCTACCATACATTCTAAGCTGCCTATACACGACCTCTATGCATCTAGTTAACAATGATTGCCAAATAAATGTACTGTTTTATTTAGACCTCCATTATGATCCACTTTATCATTAATCGGTTAGATGCTTATGACCTATCACGAGTACGAAATACTCGGAGCCTGGTATCAGTGTAGTTCCAAACTTCTGAAGTCAGTGTTCCATATCAGGATTTCAGGTTGTTCGTCGGTGAGAAAAAAAAGTGACGCTATCGAGAATTCCTGTTCTTTGTGTCACATGCTTTGAACAACCCAACTAACTAATTTGTTTCGAAACTGGACTAATAGAAATCAACCGGTCGTAATGACGAAGGACAACAACTGACCAAGTTTATCAGCAGTAGACAGGCCATTTTCATGTATTCAACCAAGGAAATATCGGGAAAACATCATGTATGAGGCCATTTGATAATTCCATGTGGCACTCCATTCAGTATGACACTTCGTTTTGTCTTAATTGAATGTGATCTCTCATTTGTATGAGATCAGTTTAATATTTAGTCTGGTATCAACTTAGTGTGGTCTTTCATTAGCAAACTAGTGGATGATAGTGAAAAAGATTTGTTTCGTGCTTGAGGGATGAAATTAATCTGCACCCATCAATGACGTTTATCTTTTTATATGGCTTGAACAAAGAAGAGGCTTCCAATATCGATTTTCTGTTCTGAAACCTTCTGGCCAGTTACACCAAATTAGCTATGCGTTTAATTTGGAATATGCCCTACCAAATGATCAGGCACAACCATTGCTGAATCAATGTCAAAAACAGTTTGAAGACGGACTATAAAAATCAACTGAGATATTGAGTATCAGATTTTCTCAGTTAAATTTCCCATAGTTGACTTGTCAGTGTATTTATTTGTTAATTGAAAATACATACCAAGTAATGACATATCTTTAAATTAGTAAACCAAATGTTGTCTTCACACATACATATAGACCAGTGGAAGAATGGGTGTTATGAAGTAAACGTAGTCAATTGGAGCTATTTAGATTGATTGTAACTATCACCGTATCACTCATACAGCTCAATAACTAGTCGAACATCTTGAAAAAAGCTTGAAGAAAAATCGTTACACATGGTCTTTTACCTATCAAAATTTTAATTAACTCTACAAACATGTGCATATGTGGACAGTGACTCAATTCCATTTCCCCTAAAAAGTTCAGTTTCCGTGATATCTAGAATGGTGTTGTAATGATTGACTGTAACCATCGAGGATCTAAAAACGCTTAATAGGACAGTCTACGCAAGTGCCTCTTGCATTCACCCAAAGGTTGATTAAGTTCAGAAACGAAAACAGACAGGAGCAACGTGGGACCTATCACTAGATAACAGTTTTAATGGTCACATACCATAACGCTACAAGAGGGAAAAAACAAATGAAAACAATAAACAAGTAGGAAAAGATGAAGAATATGTGATACAAAACAACCGGTCCAAATCTATACAATAATGAGGGAATATGTATATCAACACTATGGGCTTCGCAAGTCCCAATTACCTCAGATCAAAATATCTAATATGATTAACAATCCCTTCCTATTGAATAATTATAGATAACAGTATTTACTCACGTAGATGTTTCTCTACATGATTATCTCATAAAACTTCAAAATGATGGAATTTTTTAGTAGCAAAGCTATTACTCTCATTTTGAGCGGCATTATTATCACCTACTTCAAGTTGACTTTTACCGGAAGTTCAAAGAATATGATATCGGTAAGAAATGTTCACTTAATTATCTCTAACTAACAAAGTTTCCCCATCCTCCACAAAAGACCATTATGGATATGGCTGAAATACTTGGCCGCATATATACATAGTTGCAAGTACAAAGTATATGTCTATTTTTTCTGAATGAAATCTCAGCACGGATTCAAAAGTGCGTTTGGCTTTTCCAACTTACATCACCTATGGCGAAGGCCAGATATCCGTCTATCAATTAAGGGATGAGTATAATGTGCGGTTGTTCGTTCTGTTCTACTTTACACCTGCAAAACATGGCCATTAAGAGTAGAAAATATTCGTAAGCTACTAGTATTTGACCACAGATGCCTCAGAGATATTGCTGGCGTCTGCTGGGACCACCGGGTAAGTAATAGTGAGGTTAGACGCAGTGTACTAGGGAATGGTGGTGAATCAGTTGATGAGGTTGTGAATCTTCATCGACTGAGATGGCTGGGCCACGTGTTACGTATGCCCGAACACCGATTACCACGACGTGCAATGCTAACCGGTGTTCGGGATGGTTGGAAGAAAGTTAGGGGCGGCCAAACCAAAACGTGGCATCAGTGCTTGAAGTCACTAACTTCTAGTCTGAGCCATGTTGGTAGATGCCGACTATTTGGTTGGGGTCAGCGCGACTATCGTAACCAATGGCTGGAGACTGTGTGTGACATGGCTCAGAATCGATCACAATTGCGTAGATGTATACACTCTGTCTTCCATTAAACTATGAGATTAATATTGCTTTATATTTTTCTCTCTACCAAATAATTCTTTCTTCCCGTACTATGTCCATATATGTAATCTTTCTTCTATATATTACCACCATTGAATTAACTACTTCTATGAATTCGGTGTTCATCTTGTTGTGCTAATGAGTAAGGTGTGGCAACTTGAACCGATGCATATATGTGCCTGGTCCTGCGTTGTGGCTGACTGATGTTTTCTGACTTGACATTAAATACTAACAAGGCAACAATTAGTGTTACGAGTTTTTTAATCAAATAATAGAAAATCTACAAAAGCAAATTAAGTTTGGCTGATGTTTTGATCTCATAAAATCCTTTGGCGTTAAATTTTTCCTCATTTCCCACTCGTCGTTTTTAGCTCTGAATGTGTGTTTTAAAACATCTCATTCTGACATTTAACCATCTGTCGTTACCGATTCCAAAATCTTCGGTAACTTTAGCCGATTACATACAGAAATAAGACAAGCTTTAGTTTCAGAATCGCCATCATTTAAACAACAATTTATAAACGCTTCACGAAATCCAAATTGATCATCACTTTCTAAGTTTGCTAACCATTGTAATTCACCTGTAGTTAACGGTGCTATGTTTGAATCATCCATTGTCTATTGATAAAAAAATTCATAAATGTAGTCAGTAATATACAAACTTATTGATACATAGTGAGATTTATGCACGAGACAAAGATTAACTTACAATGTAAGCTGCATAAAAAAGTACAAACAGTGTAATATATGTACTGTTTGTGTATTGAGTAATTAGATTTAGCTATTCTCATGAACTCAATTTAAACGGAACAATGTAGAATCCAATATCTGTAGCGGCTTAAGCTAACTGATTAATTATTGGAGCGGGTAATTGAAAATACAAATAACTG